AAAGAGGGAGAGATGAAAGCCTATCCAAGGGGCACACGTGTATGTGCCTCGATATAAAACGAAATGAAAAAAAAACGTTATGCTCATATGTTAAATGTTTCATGCGTCCACACCCTGCCCCAGTCAAATAAATTTGTCTTGGTTACCCCTCACACATATACATACACCTCTGGGCTCTGGTCAAATAACCCTGAATAAATCCTTGATACACAGATAAAAACATTTTATCATAAATACAATGAAATTTTTTTTCAAGGGCTACACGATAACGATCGGCAGAAGCAGAATTCCCGGTCATATCTCCTTTCTTCAATTTATTTTGTCGCTGTCATAAATAATATTATTGTATTAAAATGAGTTGCGAATCTGTGAGAAAAGGAAGGGAAAAAATGAATCTTGAGCTAGACGTGCTGAAAAAGTTAATAACCTGAGTTGGTACTAGAATATGTTGGTAAAGGGGGCGGTGTCATTTTAATGTCACACGCCGAAATATTTTGATGGGGTTGCAGTGGCGGATCCAGGGGGGGGGCCGAAACGGCCGCGGCCCCCCCTTTTGGCGGCGCAAAAAAAAAGAGGAAAAAAAAGAAAGGAGAAGAGAAGAAAAAAAGGAGAAGAGAAAAGAAAGGAGAAGAGAAAAGAAAAGAGAAGAGAAAAGAAAGAAGAGAGAGAGAGAGAGAAAGAAAAAAAAGAAGAAGATACCCCCCCCCCCCCACCTCACTCCCACTACGGGGTCGGAGGGACCGATTTTGTGTTCCCAAAATTTCCGATAAAGGGTTACTTTTCACGCAACAAAGTCCGGCCCGCACTGACTTTACACACCGAAGATAAAGGGGTGCTTTCATTTACTAAGAGAGGGAACATAATACATGCGCGTACCCAAGATAACACTGAGTGGGTGGGGGGGGGGGGGGTGGGGGTGGGAAGGGGAAGAGAAAAGTCGGGTGAGAAAGGGGGAAAGACAAGGAAATGGCGCTAAGTGACAGTAACGACGAATAAGGGAAAAACTGTAATCGGGAGATTTGGGGTCTTTCCAGAAGGCTTAGGAAACGTTATTGAATAGAGGGGGCCGGGCCGGCCGCATAAAATCTCGAGCCACGGATTCACGTTACAAACAGCCCCTGCATTTTGAAAAAAATTGAAAAGGGCACAATAGTTTGGATGTCTTTCAAATAGCAGTTATATACTAAACAGTCAAATTTTAAATTAACGGTAGGGCCGCTTCACAACTCTTATTTTGCCCTTCATTTTGGATTCAGCTCATACCAACTCGCTTGTGCTTATATTTGAACTCATGTTAGTAGTGATAATGGACAGCGGCGGCGATCCTGGGCCCGATAGAGGGACACGTCCCCCCGGAAATTTAGATTTATAGCTAGAAAGAAATAGACATGTAGCGGAAAGAACGTACATATTCGACTAAAGGATTTTCTAGAATGCATAATTTCAGCATTCTACATTGCAAAATCTCGCTTGGTCGCTACGCCCGGGCCCTCGCCCGATAACACAAAACTAAGATATGACGCTCCCGGTCGCGATTATTTCATGGTTGGTGTATAAATAGATCTTTTTTTCCCCTTTCATTTCTACTGACCTAATTGTATGCTATCACAATCATGATTGTTTCATTTTCCCTTTAAAGCATGCGTAGCTAGGGGCGGTAGGGGGCAGTAAGAGGACATAGGACGAAAAAAGGAGCAGACAAAGAAACATTTTTGACAAGTCTAAAACGGTACAACAAATCATCTTCTTTCTCTAATAATTTAATGAAACGTTAAGCTTCTGCGCTTTGCGCTGGAGGGGGGAATCTGAATTCAGAGAAGGATTAAGAGTCGGGAATGGAACAACTAATCGTCTTCTTTCTCTAATAATTTCATTAAACCATGATATGCCAAAGCTTCCGCGCCTCGCGCGGAAGGGGGAAACTGAATTCAAACAAGGATTAAGAATCGAGAATGGGACAACGAATCATCTTCTTTCTCTCATAATTTAATGAAGCGTCAGAAGCTTACGCGCTACGCGCGGGAGGAGGAAAACTGAATTCAGACAAGACTTCAGAGTCGAGAATGGAACAACGAATCATCTTCTTTCTCTAAAAATTCAATCAAACGTCAAAGCTTCCGCGCTTCGCGCGGAGGGGGGAAACTGAATTCAGACAATGATTAACAACCGAGAACGGTACAACGAATCGTCTTCTTTCTCTAATAATTTAATGAAACGTCAAAGCTTCCGCGCTTCGCGCGGGAGAGGGGGGGGGGGGGTTGGAACTCAATTTAGACAAGGATTAAGAGTCGAGAACCCTCCCCCCTCCTTCGCGCGGAGGGGAAAACTGAATTCAGACGATGATTAACAACCGAGAACGGTACAACAAATCGTCTTCTTTCTCTAATGATTTAATGAAACGTCAAAGCTTCCGAGCTTCGCGCGGGAGGGAGTATGGAAACTGTATTCAGACAATGATTAAGAATCGAGAACGGTACAACGAATCGTCTTCGTTCTCTTATAATTTAATGAAACGTTAAGCTTCTGATCTTCGCGCGGAGGGGGGAAACTGAATTCAGACGTACAATGATTAAGAACCGAGAACAGAACAACGAATCGTCTTCTTTCTCTAATGATTTAATGAAACGTCAAAGCTTCCGCGCTTCGCGCGGGAGGGGGGGGGGGGGGTATGGAAACTGAATTCAGACAATGATTAAGAATCGAGAACGGTACAACGAATCGTCTTCTTTCTCTAATAATTTAGTGAAACGTCAAAGCTTCCGCGCTTTGCGCGGGAGAGGGGGGGGAACTCAATTCAGACAAGGATTAAAAGTCGAGAACGGTACTCTTTCTCTAATGATTTAATGAAACGTCAAAGCTTCCGCGCTTCGCGCGGGAGGGGGTACGGAAACTGAATTCAGACAATGATTAAGAATCGAGAACGGTACAACGAATCGTCTTCTTTCTCTAATAATTTAATGAAACGTTAAGCTTCTGCGCTTTGCGCTGGAGGGGGGAATCTGAATTCAGAGAAGGATTGAGGGTCGAGAATGGAACAACGAATTATCTTCTTTCTCTAATAATTTTATTAAAGTATGGTGGGTCAATGCTTTAGCGCTTCGCGCGGGAGGGGGAAAACTGAATTCAGACAAGGAATAAGAGTCGAGAATGGTACAACAAATCGTCTTCTTTCTCTAATATCAATTAATGAAAGGTCAGAACTTCCGCGCTTCGCGCGGGAGAGAGGGGGAGCAGGGGGGGGGGGAGGAACTAAATTTAGACAAGGAGTAGGAGTCGAGAATGGTACAACGAATCCTCTTCTTTCTCTAATAATTTACCCGAATAATTGCCCGAATATGAATTTGTTACATCTTTTCTCGTATATTTTGGTGATAAATAACACTTTCACAAAATACATATTATCCTCAAATTTTTGCTCGCTCGCTTCGCTCACTAGCCGAATTGTGAAACCAGAAAATTACTTTTTCGGGCAAGAGGCTTCAGCCCCCCCCCCCCCAATGAAAATGTCAAAAAAAAATTACCGGTGTGGTGCTTCATACCAACATGTTGAGTTGAAAAACGGCCTGCGCAATTTTCAAATTTCCGGCCCCCCATATTGGAAAATCCTGGATCCGCGCCTGGGGTTGGCCGTTTCAAGCGGAATTTTGAAGGGCTTATCCGCACAAAGGATGACATGTGAATGCATTTTTGAATAATGTTATAGAATTTTACTTTTTTTAAACTAAATCAGATTTAATTGTACAAAATCCTTTTTGACTTTTTAACGATTCCCAAGATGATACACATTATATCGAATATTACAATGGCAACCTTTTACCCATGTTTGTATGCGAAACTTATTTTACCATATTTTTATGCAATATTCTACATGTACCTTTTACTAAATTGGCCCAAATACAAACTGTTCTGCATTTTATTTACAATGTATAATTTGTATAATCTGTTTAAATCATTGGAGCATCTATTTGACTTTATAATTCCTGGATTTGGTTTCTGTTGTTGTCCCTGTTATTGAAGAAAACACCATAACTATACCTTACCCATCTGGCTATGCATTTTCCAACCAAAACATTTAATTCTTTTGAATCATGTATTTCTATTCATGTATTGTATAAGTTTAATATATCATTTTATTGCAAATATGGTAATACAATTCGAATTTCTGTATATGTACCAAGCAATTTGCCAAGGTCGTTGAAGCATAATTATATATCATTTGTACAAAAGAATTCCAATTTTACTACCATAATGCTACCATGCATAATGTTTTACGTGTATTTTTACTTTGTCACTGATGTATACCTTGTAAAAGAAACTGCAATTCGGCTCTCGGGCCGCGAATGTTTTTTTAAAGAAATAAACCATTTTAAATAAATAAAAACAATGATAATTATGAGAGAAAAGAACAAATTTCCAGCTTTAAAATGATCGTTATTTAGTTGAAATATCATTCGATAGTTTTAAACTGCTTCAAAGTTAAAAAAGATTTTGTCCATTTTATAGTGCAATGTGCGGATTAGAGCTACCCTATATAATGGCTATAATTTAGTTTGAGCCTCAACTTAAATCTAAAACAGTTAGACCCAGACAAAAACTTTCGGCATGTGAAATATATATGGGAGTAACGATTAACTATTCAATATAAATTTGATAAGCATCGTTATGTAATAAAATTGTCATACAATACTTATTAGACCTTTAAATCTAAAAACTGAATAATTTGAGTAATATATTTTTTCAATCACTGTGCGTTATTAGAATGGCCGACTTCCATTTGGAGCCCTGATTTAAATTTGCATGGGTGAAAAAAACTCATTATTTTGTGGAGTTAATTCTGATGTTTTTTATTTAACAATAGTCTGAACATGCTTAAAATTACCTATATGTTTATCGAAATTCTAGTCGAATTTCCTTCTCTTTATCACCCATGTTACACTTTCATTTGTCTTTTTTTTCTAAAGACACCGTAGCCAAAATTCGATTGTTTTTTTTTTCTTCTTCTAGTTTTACCTTACAAATTAATTCGCGGTATTTACAATTTCGCCACGGCGATGCTGTTCGAGTTGTTCGTTGATCCGGTAGTCTAATGGTATTTGGTAAGTTTTCTACGTTTTCATCCTTTTGACTCCAATTGTTGACATACCCGTTAGATTTATTCGGTGACCCATTCCATTCAGACAGCGGTGGCTATTCACCATGTTTATATTCTGTGTTCGGAACGGTATTGACTTTAGCCAATGGTAGCTGCAGCGTTTATCAACCGGGGCGGTGTCCCGCGGCAAGACATCGCTGAACTGAGTAGGGGTACGGGTGCCGCTAACTCCAGGAAGCTCCGACACCGACGCCGAAGGTGTCGGAGCTTCAGCGGGTGCATAGGAGTACATTCAAACAGCGGGTTGACGTTGGGCGACAATAGGGACTTTTCGATTCGCACGTTCATTAGTGGACTGCGACGTACGCGGTCATTTTTAAGCAGGGTTGACGGGGCACACTGACTGTAGTTCGTTACCGTTTCGATTTTACACAACTAACGTTAGGTCTACGACGCTCGCTTAATGAGCGCGAAATTCGATCGAATAGCTAAAGATCCAACTCCAAATTCGGTGCATGAGACTGTTCTCAAATATTATGCTGCAACAGATTAGCGATGCCTAAATAAAATGTGCTCATTTTATGAATTATTCTGCTTAGTGAGCGCGAAATTCAATCGAGAAGCTAAAGATACAACACACCAAATTCAGTGCATGGGACTGATCTCGAAAAATATGCTGCAACAAATTGGCGATGCATAAATAAAAGTGTTCATTTTAAGAATTATTCTGCAACAATTTTGATTTAAGGGCAATGATACAGACACAAAAATGTGTTCATTAAGTTAAGAGAATTCACACTTCCACCACTCTCCGGTTCTAGAATTAGGTCAATTGGGTCCATTTTGTGACTTTAATGTGATGTTTCGTGCCTACGAAAGATTGCTTACGAACATGTATCGTCACAGTTTGCGAACGACGGCAAAACAAGGGCGAACGCGTTCAAGAATTCTGCTACGAACGTTGAGCTCGTCGATGCGCATGCGCACTGCTTCAAAATTGACCGCATACATCGCAGTCCACTAGTGAACGGGCAAATCGAAAAGTCCCTAATATCTCAAAATATGCGAAGGGAGTAATTACAATTTTGACTTAGCCTACTACTGTACTAGGTTGCTTGATTCAACATACATGGCGAAGAGAAAGCACACACTACCGCACATGCGTACTTTCTCTTTGCCATGTTGAGTCGATGATACAACATGGAAGAATGGTAGGGGAAGGACGAAGAATCACCCCCTTTTTCCCATTGAAGACTTCTTCAAATTAAAATTTCAAGTGGCCAGCCAGATGCCCAGAGGAGTCGAGCTCGAGCAGCTAGCAGTCTAGTAGTAAGCCAAAATTGTAATTACGCCCTTTGCATATTTTGAGATAATGTCACCCAACCCACTCCAGCAAAGCACAGAGAGTCCATGTTTGAATGTTTTCCTAGACTCTATGCATATGCACATGCACCCGCTGAAGCTCCGACGAAAGGCGTCGGAGTCGGAGTCGTCGGAGGTTCCTGGGTGTCACTCTGATTGCGCACTCAGTATTGTGTGCTAGTAAAATCCTTCCCATAGTAGAGATTGCACACATCCCTGTGCAGTCCATGTGCATTGCTCGCCCATGCTATATAACTCTGTGTGAACCACTTTTTTTCCATTCTGACCCAAATGCTATGAATATTGCAGTTTTTGAGGGGCTGTATCTTTTGATAGAAACATCGGTGAGTCTTGAAATTTGAAATTTGAAATTCTGATTACATATTTATTCAAATATCCAACAAAAATTGTGAAAAACGATCCCAAATTGAAAATTGAAAAATCATTCAGACACCCTAGTCGCCCAACCCGCTGTTTGAAAGTTTTCCTATGCACCCGCTGAAGCTCCGACGCCTTCCTGGAGTTAGCGGCACCCGTACCCCTACTCAATTAGGGTGCCACCAGAGAAATATAGGCTTTTAAAACAGCACTCTACTGCACTGCGAGTTGCGGGCATCCATTGACATTCTCAATTCCATAGATCTACGCATCTATTTGCGTCCTTGCAGCACAAAAAACTTTGCCCACTTAGCGCTGTACACATGGTACAGAGAGTTTATGCACTCCCATAGGCCGATCAGCTCCAGTAGCTTCAAATTTAAGTGAGAGATCTCAAGAGGGCCTACATACATGTAACTTAAATTACAAAGTTTTGGAATGGGGTCATGAATATGGTTCAAATGAACCAATTGAAAGCATATGCGATCCTTCAATATTCAGTGGTCGTCGCGGTTAAAATTGTGTCTAAAGTTATGACATTGTAAATAATACACTTTATGTTGTATAGCTCCCTCTCAAGGTCAAGATATTAATTAAACTACAAAACAATGTTTCTTCACTAAAATCGACCAATCAGCTATTCCCGTTTGGAAATTATATATCACAACTACATATTCTGATATTTTCATAGTCGCAGCTACCATTGTACGGCCGTAGGCGCTATTTGAAATTCATCAAAATTTAAAGGGAGCACCAGTAAATTTTTATATTAAATTTTTCTCGAAAGCCAAAGTTTTTTGGGGGCTAAATTTTCCAGTGCTTATAATACATCCACAGGGGCATCCAAATATATGAAAACTGTAAAGAATAACTATCCACCCATTTTTCAAATTTCCCAAAACTTTGTATTACCTTTAAGTTCAATGGCAATGATGTCATCTTCCTTCATGCGCAGTAACAGTTTAAAATACGGCTGCAAAAATTTTAACACAGAGTTTGAATTCAACGAAAGAAAATCCGGAAAAAAGACCCTTAATTCTTAAACGCATTATACAGTCAAGCTAGGAAGTGGAACCGATGTATGTTAGCATACATGTAGGCCTAATTTACAAGTATAAATGCATCGGATATGAATCCGCTAAAATTACAATTTAGTCTAAAGATTGGTGGCACTATCGTGCCACCAAACTTCTACTGGAGACCCTATGGTTGGCATTTGTCTCTAAAGAGAGGAGCTGACCCTACCCAAATATTAAGAGGCTATAACGAACGAAAGAGAGGTCTACATGTATGGTCAACTATGACGTTCTGTATGAAGTCTTCGGAATCCTTCTGAGGAGTAGGGTCTATTATCTGGAAGGAGTGATGTTGTGAATAAGATTAAGAAGACCACAAAAAGGTGACCAGTGCATCACAACTTTACTTGGAAGTTGTATGTGTTATAGTTTGCTTCCTGTAGAGGTATTGATGAATTATTAATGAGTATGAATTTTGGTCTTTTCTATGTTTTCATCACATAAAATGCATGTTCATTCATATAAATTTCTTTATTTTGCAGATGGAACGATCGCTGTGACTTTGACTGCAATAAGAAGTCTAAGATCTACATTTATAAGCAAGAAGACATTGTGAAAAAGGATGCAAGCAAGATGCCTAAAGCTCCAAAGTTGTCTCAACAAGAACTTGATGATGAATTTGAGCAGTTTCTCAAGGAGGTATATCTTATTGTTTTGCAAAGATTTATCGTTTAGTCCTAGATCTCTAATCTATTTTGTACATTTGTACTCATACTTTGGCATGTTTTGTGATTGGCATCTACTTGGAAACCTACATCGTATGGATTCATCTGACACAGGCTTAAGACTTTATATTCAGTTCCAAATTCCTTTGATATGTTAATTTTTTAATAGAGTCTATGCACAAGGTTTCAAATATTTCAAATATTTCAAATATTTTTAAATATTTTTGGTGTTCTCCAGGTGGACATCTGGTTCATCATGTCTTTATCCCTCCCTTTCTCTTTTTTGCCTTCTTCACTTCTCACATTTCATCACTTTAAATCTCTCTCACCATCTCTCTACCACTTCACGTTTTCCCATCAATCTCCTCCCTTTTAGTACCTTTAAAACTTGCTGTTCCCCTTCAAATGTGTCCCATTTAGTGTTCCTTTTGCCTTCTGAATGTTGTTTTTTGTATCATGTGAATCATGCCTTCACCTTCCTTATTCTTGTTTAGTCTTTCTCTGATGACTCAACGGACTTTACCAGCAAGCGGAACAGAAGTCCAAGGAGAGGGAAGAAAGAAGATACCGGTACTCCGTGGTGGATGAAAGGAGACGATGACTCCAGCTTGAAGAGTGGAAGAGCAAAGAAGAAGAATGATGAAGAACAATCTACTACACCAAGTGAGTTTCATTCATGAATATCACAGGTTGTCATGTTTTTTGTGACACATCTCAGCTGACACTGGCTCCCTGGTCAGTTTCCTATACAGATTGAATTCTTCACTTCAACCTGGACCAAAAAAATATACCTGTACATGTACCTAACCCCAAACCTAAACCTTACCTGAAAACCAGTAACAACTCTAACTTTATATCTCTATATCTTTAAGAAGTTCTGTATTGGCAGGATGATGATTAGACATCTTTTAGAACTCTATACCATTGAAAGATTTTCAATAATATTACAAATTCATTTAATTTTGTATTTTCAAACTGTGTATTAACGTACCCAGATTATATACCTTACCTTAAAAATCTTAAATTAACTTTAAAAGAATTATAGAAACTCACGTCGTCTGTTGATAACATAATTGTAGATCACATCTGAACATGTATATATGGAAAATGTGCTATATAAATAAATTATTATTATTATTATTTACACATTTATTTAATCCTATTATTATTTAATTTTATTAAGCGGTTTACTATTTCCATGCATGTAATTACAGGGCTTGAACATACTGGGAAAGTTAAAGTTGATGTTGCATGATTTATGTTCCCTTCTTAAGGATGCAAATGTAGTTTTCTAAACATTGTGAGCATCTGTAATGATGGCGCCTTGCTAGAATGCTCCCCAGGGAGTGGAGAATGTGCATACTTTATACGCGGGCAAGCCCGAATCATATGACCTGTAAAGCGCTTAAGAACATTGTTGATATATTGAGCGCTATATAAATACGGAATATTGTTAAATGTTATTTTTATTATTCTTTATTGCAGGTAGCATGAAGTGGTTGAAACCCAAGAAACAGTCCACCCCTCTCAGAGAAGTGCAAGAAGAGGAAGATGAAGAGGTCTTGAAGCCAAAGAGTATTTTACAGAAGGTAGGAACACAGATTCTTTAAAAAAAAGTACAATCAAACCTGTCTATTGAGGCCAACCAGGGGAAACAGAAAAAGTGGCCTCTGTAGACAGATGGCCTTTCTATACAGCTTTTGTTAACACCTATTACCTTCTAGAGGAGGGCAATACAGGTGACCCCTGTAGACAGGTAGCATATACAGAGAGGTGGCCATTAAGACAGGTTTGACTGTATAATGTATAATGAAGGAACAGTAAGTGTTAGAAATAATTGTAAACATATTGATTAGGTCTGCAGTGGAGTATTTTTTTTTGTAGAAAAAGGAAGTGCAACTCCCTTGTAAGCTTGGTGTAGGCTCTGAAATAATATATTATTTCTGGATATCATGAATTAAATTTTGTTTTAGCCCTTACAGTGTCTCCTTGTTAACATTTTATGAGACACAATATCAATCATAGTGCCTCGTTTCATTAGTAATAATAATGATAATATGGCTACATTTATAAAAGCTTTGATGGAATAAATTCCCACCTTGTACGCATTTATTACACCTGGGTGGAAAGTGACAAATGTAGATTAATGTCTTGCCAAAGGACATTAATGCTGCGGCGATACTTGAACCTCGACCATGTGATCCACAGTCCAGTAATGCATCCACTAGACCACTTCACATAATTCATCTTAGTACATGCAATGTTCCATACATGTATCTAACATAACATGAACTTGTTAGCAGTTTGACCTGATGATGACACTGGAAGGGTTAATCAATACACATCATTTGTTTGATTGTTGAATCTTTCAGGGAAAGCGTGTAGAGGAGGAGGAAGAGCCAAAGGAAACCAGTGCAGTTCCAAGGAGACAGATTAGGAGAGATAGTCTGGAAGAAGGTGAGGATTACTGTGAAAAAAAAAGAGAAAAAAGAAGAAAAAAAAACAACTGTCAGTTACATCTGTGGGTCTCGTCTTGTTTGGAGCCAAAAGGGCATTATCTCATACACCTCAACACAACACAAACGCTCTTCTGGCTCTGAACAGATGATATGATACTTAGTTGTTAGACAGAGACATGCTGATAAGTTAAGTTGCTGTATGTTTATTCCATTCTTCATCATTATAATAAAAAGATAGGAAAAACTGAACGCCTAATATTATTTTAAGAATCTGATGTTCATGATGCAAATTGAGAAATTGAGGCAAAAGAAGAGGAGTTTTTGTGTGTTGCTTTGTTTATGTGGTGATCCATGATTTTGAAGAAGATAGCAGTTTGTAATGGTAAAAGGCTTTATACTCTCCTTATAGAAAGTCTGCATAAAGGAAAACCCCTGTTTTTTCTCACTAATCTCTTATCCTTTTTTCTGTTTTTTTCTCCCTTTGACAGATAACTTTGATGAAAAGTTTGAGGAGAGCCATAAAAGAAGGTGACATTTCTTTAATCTTCATTTCACAATTTACATGTACATATCAAAGCTACATTTTGACTGTTTATCATGCTATCCTATTTTTTAATGAAACAATGCTACTTCCTGATTATCAACTTTTAAAAAGGGGCTGGTCTATAATATGCATTTCCCTGTTAAAACATAGATTTTTGTATGTATTTCTCTTTTTTTCAGTGGAGTCATGCCTGAGCAAGCCAGCTTTGAAGATACATACAGCCAGTCAGGTGATTCATGGTTTATTTTTGATAGAATATTAAAATTAAAGATAATACTAGAACTTCTGAGAGCTTAGTAGCGCAAAAATTCATATCAGTAATGTTGCTTCAGGGGTTGTATGATACTTGTTTTGTTAAAACAAGTGTTGTTTTTTAACAAGTTAGATGACTGCATGTTTTGAACAGATGTTGAGAATATAGCTGTAGTTCTTCACAAAAGAATAGTACATTTTCATATAGTTGGTCAGCTGCAAACAGCTTTAGAATTAAGGGAAGCCCACATAATATAAGTTATTTCGCCAAACCAACTCAAGATCAACTCCAAAGTGACTTATTGTTTGTTTGGTCTTTAGTCAGTCAACGGTTTCATTTGAGTGAGTGAGGTAAGGAAGTACAGAGTATTTAGCAAATATATTCTGTGAGCAGGGTTATGCAAATCTATTACTTTTATGGAGAGAGGAAGCTAGAAATATCTGGTTTTATATCTTTGTGACAGAACCTACTGATGGTCTGACGACGGCGGAATCGACAGGACAAGATCCCTACGGAGGCCAGAGCACTATGGGCTCCACCGGCCAGGATCCGTACGGGGGCCAGAGTACCTTTGAATCCACAGGACCAGGAGCTGAGACCCTGGAGGAGATAGCTGATAAGGCAAAGTTCTTCAAGGAGCTGGAAGAGAAAGCCGAGAGGACGGTAGACTACAGCAGACTGAACAGAGATGCGGATCTGTCGGGTACAATGGGTACCATGGGAACACTCCCATCAGCTTACATGGGGTGAGTATGAGAACCAGGGCCTGTATTCAATTCAATACTTAAGTACAAAATGTAAGCTTTTTACTTAGTATTTGGCTTGGATAAAATACTTAGCCAATTTTGGTATTTAATTCACACTTTTGGCTAAGCAGGCATATGGTTTTCTTAAGCAGTATTATAACCTGCGCACAATTATATCAGTGCGCATTTATAGCAATGCATCAATTGCGCATTACTTTTGATTGACCGTGTGACGTCACAATGCTTATCAGTAAATATTTTACTTATATTTTTTCTTACGTAAGTATAGTCTAAAATGCGATTTGAATACGAGATAAGTAAATTACTTAACTTAGCCATTTACTTAGTAATTTTCTTACCTTTGCTAAGTATTGAATTGAATACCGGCCCAGGGCCCTGTTTCATAAAACAAGATACAATAATTGTTCTTATATTTTTGATGAAGGAAATCCTATTCAGTGATTGGTCAACATAGCATCATGTGACCAAACATAACATTGCTATGATGTTACTAATAAGAAAAACATGCTATACTGTGACGTCATCCATGGTATAGTGCACTATACCATGGATGACGTCATAGATATGCGATCGATCAAGATCAATGTGATATCGGTGTCGCCCCGGTCGCGGTACGGTTGTCAGCGCTGCTCTCACTGCACTCTACACTACTTCAGTGAGAGTATACATTATTGTTATCATTATTATTATTTTTATTTAGGTTGGTTTGAAAAATATAAAAACAAAAATATCATCCACAATTACAGAAATTACAGCAAAAGGGGGCCTTTTTGCGAGTTACATTAGATTGGCTGAGAGCACATTTGTCATAGAATTTTCAGCATTTGTTATTGATAAGAATATTTATGAAACAGGGCTCAGGTCTTGTTGGTACATATTACTGATATGAGCTAAGGGTACATACATGTATGGGAGAGATGCAGTCATATGAATACTGTAATTGTATATACCCCGGCAGTATGCCAGTGCCGGGTAGGGTACTTTGGATTCAGCAGCATAAGGCTGCCGCGTCATATTCTTGTGTGCACTCTAACCACATTGCAACATTCCTTGAAAGATTTCTTTCAAATTTTGTATGGAAGTGTATCTTGGTATAATCTTCACACCTATGACTTTTGGTGATACTGCCCCCATGGTTCCGTCTTCTAAAGGGTAAAAGGCCATATTTTTGTGGATGGTTTGTGTGCGCTCTATAGGCCACATTTCTCAAGGGATTTTGTTCAAATTTTGAGCAAAAGTGTATCTCGCTATAATCTACAAGCCTCTAGATGTTGGTGATGCTGCCTCCATTGTTCTGTTTTTTATAGGGTCAAAGGTCATATTTTGATACATATCTTGTGTGCACTCTAGTGTGCAGTCTAACTGCATCATTTCTTGACAGATTTTTTTCAAATTGAGTATGAAAGTGTATGATGATAAAATCTATGCACTTATAGAATTTGGTGATGCTGCCACCAGTGTCCCATGTTTTATAAGGTCAAAAGGTCATATTTTGGTTTTTGTCTAGTGTGCGCTCTGCAGGTCATATTTCATAACGGATTTCTTTCAGATTCTGAATAGAGATGTATCTTAGTACAATCTATACATCTCTCTTTTTTGGTGATGCTGCCCTCATTGTTCCGTCTCTTATATGTTCAAAGATCATATGTCTTTTATGCGCTCTAACTGCCACATTTCTTGACGGATACATTCAAATTGCATGACAATACAGATTGCAATATTTCTATACCTGTGTTTGGGGGTTGTCATGTTTGAGAAGAGCGCAGAGAGCTGTGTGATGTGGGTTCACTACACCCTCTTACCACCAGCTGATATAAGATTTCACTTGTGTGTGTGTGGGGGGGGGGGGGGGGGGGGTTGTCATGTTTGAAAAGAGTGCAGAGAGCTGTGTGATGTGGGGGGTTGTCATGTTTGAGAAGAGTGCAGAGAGCTGTGTGATTTGGGTTCACGTACACCCTTTTACCACCAGCCGATATAAGATAACACTTGTGTAGGAGGGGGGGGGGGGGGGGGTTGTCATGTTTGAAAAAAGTGCAGAGAGCTGTGTGATGTGGGTTCACGTACACCCTTTTACCACCAGACGATATAAGATTACACTTGTGTGTAGTGGGGGGGGGGGGGGAGGGGTTGTCATGTTTGAGAAGAGTGCAGAGAGCTGTGTGATTTGGGTTCACGTACACCCTTTTACCACCAGCTGATATAAGATTTTACTTGTGTGTAGGGGGAGGGGGGTTGTCATGTTTGAGAAGAGTGCAGAGAGCTGTGTGATGTGGGTTCACTACACCTGTTTACCACCAGCTGATATATGATTTCACTTGTGTGTAGAGGGGTTGTCATGTTTAAGATGAGTGCAGAGAGTTGTTTGAGAAGAGTGTAGAGAGCTGTGTGATGTGGGTTCACTACACCCTTTTTCCACCAGCTGATATATGATTACACTTTTGTGTAGAGGGGTTGTCATGTTTAAGTAGAGTGCAGAGAGCTGTTTGATGTGGGTTCACTACACTCTTTTACCACCAGCTGATATATGATTTTACTTGTGTGTAGGGGGAGGGGGGTTGTCATGTTTGAGAAGAGTGCAGAGAGCTGTGTGATGTGGGTTCACTACACCCTTTTACCACCAGCTGATATAAGATTTCACTTGGGCGTGGGGGGGGGGGGGGGTTGTCATTTTTTTTTAAACTTGCAGAGAGCTGTGTGATGTGGTTTCACGTACACCCTTTTACCACCAGCTGATATAAGATTACACTTGTGTGTAGGGGGGGGGGGAGCGGTTGTCATGTTTAAGAAGAGTGCAGAGAGTTGTTTGAGAAGAGTGCAGAGAGCTGTGTGATGTGGGTTCACTACACCCTTTTTCTACCAGCTGATATAAGATTTCACTTGTGTGTAGGGGGAGGGGGATTGTCATGTTTAAGAAGAGTGCAGAGAGCTGTGTGATGTGGGTTCACTACACCCTTTTACCACCAGCCGATATAAGATTACACTAGTGTGTAGTTGGGGTGGAGGGGGTTGTCATGTTTGAGAAGAGTGCAGAGAGCTGTGTGATGTGGGTTCACTACACCCTTTTACCACCAGCTGATATATGATTACACTTTTGTGTAGAGGGGTTGTCATGTTTAAGAAGAGTGCAGAGAGCTGTGTGATGTGGGTTCACTACACCCTTTTACCACCAGCTGATATAAGATTTTACTTGTGTGTAGGGGGAGGGGGGTTGTCATGTTTGAGAAGAGTGCAGAGAGCTGTGTGATGTGGGTTCACCACACCTGTTTACCACCAGCTGATATATAATTTCACTTGTGTGTAGAGGGGTTGTCATGTTTAAGAAGAGTGCAGAGAGTTGTTAAAGAAGAGTGTAGAGAGCTGTGTGATGTGGGTTCATTACACCCTTTTTCCACCAGCTGATATATGATTACACTTTTGTGTAGAGGGGTTGTCATGTTTAAGAAGAGTGCAGAGAGCTGTGTGATGTGGGTTCACTACACCCTTTTACCACCAGCTGATATAAGATTTCACTTGTGTGTAGGGGGGAGGGGGGTTGTCATGTTTGAGAAGAGTGCAGAGAGCTGTGTGATGTGGGTTCACTACACCCTTTTACCACCAGCTGATATAAGATTTTACTTGTGTGTAGGTGGAGGGGGGTTGTCATGTTTGAGAAGAGTGCAGAGAGCTGTGTGATGTGGGTTCACTACACCTGTTTACCACCAGCTGATATATGATTTCACTTGTGGGTAGAGGGGTTCTCATGTTTAAGAAGAGTGCAGAGAGTTGTTTGAGAAGAGTGTAGAGAGCTGTGTGATGTGGGTTCACTACACCCTTTTACCACCAGCTGATATATGATTACACTTTTGTGTAGAGGGATTGTCATGTTTAAGAAGAGTACAGAGAGCTGTGTGATTTGGGTTCACTACACCCTTTTACCACCAGCTGATATATGATTACACTTGTGTGTAGGGGGGGGGGGGGGGAGGGTTGTCATGTTTTAGAAGAGTGCAGAGAGCTTTGCGATGTGGGTTCACGTACACCCTTTTACCACGAGCTGATATAAGATTTTACTTGTGTGTAGGGGGAGGGGGGTTGTCATGTTTTAGAAGAGTGCAGAGAGCTGTGTGATGTGTGTTCACTACACCCTTTTACCACCAGCTGATATATGATTTCACTTGTGTGTAGGGGGGGGGGGGAGGGTTGTCATGTTTTAGAAGAGTGCAGAGAGCTGTGTGATTTGGGTTCATGTACACCCTTTTACCACCAGCTGATATAAGATTTTACTTGTGTGTAGGGGAAGGGGGTTTGTCATGCTTGAGAAGAGTGCAGAGAGCTGTGTGATGTGGGTTCACTACACCTGTTTACCACCAGCTGATATATGATTTCACTTGTGTGTAGAGGGGTTGTCATGTTTAAGTAGAGTGCAGAGAGCTGTTTGATGTGGGTTCACTACACTCTTTTACCACTAGCTGATATATGATTTTACTTGTGTGTAGGGGGAGGGGGGTTGTCATGTTTGAGAAGAGTGCAGAGAGCTGTGTGATGTGGGTTCACTACACCCTTTTTCCACCAGCTGATATATGATTACACTTTTGTGTAGAGGGGTTGTCATGTTTAAGTAGAGTGCAGCGAGCTGTTTGATGTGGGTTCACTACACTCTTTTACCACCAGCTGATATATGATTTTACTTGTGTGTAGGGGGAGGGGGGTTGTCATGTTTGAGAAGAGTGCAGAGAGCTGTGTGATGTGGGTTCACTACACCCTTTTACCACCAGCTGATATAAGATTTCACTTGGGTGTGGGGGGGGGGGGGGTTGTCATGTTTGAGAAAAGTGCAGAGAGCTGTGTGATGTGGTTTCATGTACACCCTTTTACCACCAGCTGATATAAGATTACACTTGTGTGTAGGTGGGGGGGGGAGGGGTTGTCATGTTTAAGAAGAGTGCAGAGAGTTGTTTGAGAAGAGTGTAGAGAGCTGTGTGATGTGGGTTCACTACACC